GTCTATTAAAATGTTCATGGGTGCATTCTACAAAGCGTATTTTAAATTATTCCAACATTGAAAGTTTAGTTATGTATTTTTCAAAATAATTTTGTGTTTGAAATTTATTCTTTATGTGAAAAGAATCACACTGTGATGTGGCCCACAAAAATACAATAATCCTTTCACTCACTTGCTCCCTTTCTTTCTCTCTCTTTCTCTCTTTTTCTCTCTTTTTCTCTCTCTCTATCTCTTTCTATATATATATATATATATATATATATATATATATATATATATATATATATATATATATATATATATGTATGTACGTGTAGAAAAATATGTAAAGAAAGATAAATATAATTTCTTTCAGAGCATGACTAATTTGAATTATGGGTTCTTTTATGCTTCCTGTCAGGGCGTTGGTAAGCAGATTCAGCAGCTGCTTTTCATAAGTTTTCCCAGTCAGATAGATAAAAATTTCAGGATAAGTTTGAATTTTTTAACCCAATCTCCTACCACTGACTCAACCGGTTTGTTGATAAGCTAGTACGTTCTTTTCGACAGTTGAACGAAGCATTTCAAATGCTATGGTTGAGACGAAAAAGATTAGCCTAAAAATATTTGAAATATTTTTTACCAGACTTGATTTTTGGTGCCCACGCCTGCTTTTTATTTTCGCTGTTTTGAAATTGAGATAAAAGTTTGTAGAAAATTGTCCAACTTCCCGTTTAAAAGTGCCATGGTTATTATTATAATAATAATAATAATAATAATAATAATAATTATTATTATTATTATTAGATCTAGCTTATTCAATTCTGCGATAGCATCTACATACGCAATATATTGTGACAGAAATAAAGCTTGACTCTTGTTTTTATATTATTTTATCATCTTTGTACACATTCATAATGACGAGCATTGATGCTAAATTATCCATTATTTTAATCTTTTAACTATTATAATAATTGATCATTTTATATTTAATTGTAATTTCTTTTTTTTTTACTTATATTTTGGCTTATGAAGAAATAAAAGAGTTCTCATTATTATTATTATTATTATTATTATTATTATTATTATTATTATTATGATAAACTCTTTTGTTTTGTCTAAAGTATTTATCAACATATACCCAAATGAAAAGACGCCGGTCATACAATTGAAATGAGCACATCAAGAAATAAAATCAAAGCAATAAAAGTAAAAACGCGAGATAATAATAATAAATAATAATAACAATGATGATGAGGGTGATACACACACACACACACACACACACACACACACACACACACACACACACACACACACACACACACACACACATACACATACAACACACACACACATAAATACATATATAAATTTATATTACTCAATATACATATATGTACGAAGACTTCTATAAAAATTGTTTGTGCTCATACGCGATATGAAGAAAGTGAAAAATCCTCCTAACCTTATTGCCGAAAAATCACCGAGAAATGTGGCGATCAGAAATGTTTGGACATGGGATAGCAGTATGGTCACAGTGCTGAACATGAAACAACACACCGTTCAAGTGAATAGTTGTGAAGTTTTTATCAATTGGAAGAAAAACTCGCCTCGTTTAGAATTTCTTTTGGTTTGCATGGTGCAGTCAACTGCTATTTTGAAATTCTAATTCATTTTCATTACGTTTCTATTGTCTCGTGTTGGAAAATTTAAAAAAAAACTCCATCTTTATCTTCATCATCATCCTCTTCATTTGTCAACGGGGAAAAACCCAAAAACCAAAAACTCTATAAAAGTTTACAAAAGTAGCAATTTCTCATTTCGTTTTGCAAATTAACATTACTAATAAATCTTTCATCGTAGCGTAAATTCTTTTCTGACTCAAATTTGAATCGTCTGAATTAAAATTGGGCCGCAGATAACTTCTATTTTTACTTTGAAACCTTTAAAATTAAAAAAAATTTCTTGCGCAGAATTTACGACACCAAGCGCGAACAATCAGGATGACTTCAACACAACACACTTAATGACAACAACAACAACAACAAACAACAACAAAAACAACAGTAATAATTACAACGTCTGTTAATGAAACCTAAGTGAACTTTTATCTGTCATCAGTGTATGGAAATTCGTGGCTGTGAGTTTTTATGTCTTTATTTTTTAAATGACTGACTAGTTTTCTTAACTTCTTGCATTAAAATAATTTTCGATACAAAAGTTTAGAAAACTGCAACAAGAGAGAAGATATTTAATGGGAAGTTTAAAACGACATCATCTCCAAAGACCAAAACTCACAATAAAGTTTTGTATGGAATCACAAATACATCTGTAGGTACATTAGGTACATTAATTAATCTCTTTGAATATATAAACCAATTAACGCATTAACGTGCTTAAACAATAAACACACACACTCACACACGCACGCAAATACACACACATACACACACACACAACCACACACACACATACACACACACATACACCGTATATATAAGTAATGATTAAATTGTACGTTCTTTCAAAAAACACATGTGAGTCATTTTCTGACGGTGTTGAATGTGGAGTTGATGCTTCTCGTTATGCAGGTTGCTGACTGCCTGCGTGGTGAATTGGTGATGATGTTGATGATGATGATGATGTTGATGATGACGATGTTTATGTTGATGATGATTTTGTGATGTCCATGTTAATTGAACTTTACGATTTCATGTTGTGAAATGTGAAATTAAATAAACCAACAAACTAATTAATTAATTGATTATTAATTAATTAATCAAAGATTCATTTTAAATTTAACAAACTTACCTTGTATTTTTTTTTTAAATTTAAAATATCTTTCTTTGACATGTATGTTCATCAGTTTTATTTATTTTCGATTATTGTTTGTAATATTCTTATTAAACTGTACACTTTAATAACATCTATACAACAATAATAATAACATGATATAAAGTTGTCAGAGCTCTTTTGAATTCTCTAACAATTTAATATGAAATTTGATAGTTAAAAACGCCTGTCACAGCATTGGAACTAAAAGAGATTCCAGCTTATACGCCATGTGTACATTATTCGTTGTATATGGGTTATGTAAGCAAGTACTGCAATAGAAGAAACAAATGCTGCCATTTTTGTTGTTTTTGTGTTTTTGTTTGGTCAATTCTTAATTAAATTTGATTGAAATGCTTTTGGAGATCAAAAAACAGGTTGGTGAAATTTCTCAAATGTTCTATAAAGAAGTTTTTCTTTAAATGGCAATTGTTGCATTTTAAAAGGTTTGAGCGTTCTAAAAAATTAAAAGATAAAAAATGATTGACCGTAAATATAACTAATTAAATATTAAAACTTTGTAAAAAAATTTTTTACATGTGTTCCTTCTTCTTCCTGAAGATGTAGTAGATGATAGGATTGGCCACGCAGTTCAGCGGCACCAAACTCTGGAAGAAAATTTCGAGGGGCTGCAGACCTTCCATCTCAAAAACCTTGTAGACGGCGAGCAGGTCGAAGAGGAAGTAAGGACTCCAACATATGACGAATGCTGAACATGGCATTTTAGTTAAGAAGGTAATTCGTTTTCACGTATGACTCATAAAAATTTCAGAAATTTGTTAACCGTAATGGAGAGTAAACGCAGAAACATTTAATTAAATTACGTTGAGAATTTTTGAAAATTGCTTATTGGTAAGCTTTACACCAAAGTTGCTTCAATCATGACGACTTTAAAAAGGCCTCAATGAAATCAATGGAGGACAAATTCAGCTGATTCTACCAAAAAGATTGTGTAGCGCTTAATTTTTATTTTGCTGCTGCAAGTTTTCTGGCCACTTATTACATTACAATACAAACTGTAAATAAAAGTGTTTTTTTTCAAATTTTATATAAAAACTATTTAAATAGTTCATAAATGTTTAAAAATTTGCAGATGTTGGAATAATTTTGATTGTTTAACATATTTCCTATTAATAATATTCAAAATATCAGCATCAATTCTTATTATGCGAAATTTAATAATAATAATTTTCAAGTGCGAGAAAGTTTCAGATCTGAAAACTTCAAAAAAGTTTTTTTAATGCTTCGTGGAAAAAGACATTTATTTGAACTCGTATCTACAAAATGTAGGCTCGTTTGAAATTTCGTGAAATAAAAAATCGTTAAAAAATAAATGAAGTTTGATAAAAATGTCAACCTAAAAATGAAAAATAATATAAAAATAAGTTTTTTAATCATATTATTTAATATATATGAATGCAAATATACATTGAAATTGAAACCTAGTGCTTAAGGTCGTCTGGCAACGTTACGCAGTGACCAGGTTCATATATAACAAAAAGGGATTTCTAGCTATCACTTGCATTGCGTGTGATGCGTCGTTTGGTACGAATTCAAATCGGTGTGCTGTTTGTGTGAAGTTTATTTGTCTAAACTTTGGAAGAGCGTCTAAGACCTTTTTAACCTTTCAACCGATAATGTCGAGATTGTGTGCACACCGCATATCTTCAGTCTGGTCCGAGTTTTAGTTAAAATTTCGTAGTCATTTATTTCCAGCTATTCATTTTAATCAGTGAAGTGCGTAATTGCTATCGTACGTTAAAAAAACTTTTCTGTAATTTATGTATTGTTGGTTATATGATTTTTCATAAAATGCCGAAATTTGCTCAAAATGATGTGATTCAACTTTCTTTTTAACATCCATTTAGCTGATTGAACGATTGCTGTAATGTAGCAATCTTATTCATTCTTATTTTCAGTAATGTATGAAAAAAAACTTACAAACAATAAAAGAAACAAATTTCACAGTTATTTTTATATCAAGAAAATTACAATCATTTTAAGCATGGAAGCTGTCGAAACAATGATAAAATTTATTGAATGTTTATGTTAGGATTTTTCAGAATGTAAGTTAGTAATAAAGTTTGCCAAATGATCTCTTGTAAGTTTCTATGGTATGCTTACGCACAAGAGGCGGTGTGTCAAATATATATCACGATAGCTTAATGGAACATATACGTAATATGCTAAGACCCCTTAACAGTCAAATCAGAATAGATTGAGATGAAAAAATGCTCACCTAACACAATGGCGAAGGACATTTTAATGGATTTAATCTTTGCCTTTGGATACACACCAGCAGCAGTGTTGTCGGCGGAGAGCTTGTTCCTTTTGTTCGTGTCGGTTGTGTTCTTCTGCTGCTGATGGGATGCCTTTGGATGGATGTCGAATTCCTTGCGGTTGTCATCCGCGTTCTTCTTGTCTGCTCTCAAAACTTCCAGCTTAATTTTGTCGTACAATGTTGTCTTGTTTATTTTGTCTTTGATGCTTCTTCTTTGGAAGTCGTCCAAATTGTACGAGCATTTTGATGTAGATGGTTGGGCGATCTGAGCGTCTTTATTGCCGATGGTCTTTAAGTAGTCTGTTTCGCCGGCAGAGCATTTTTAAAGAAGTTTTTTCACTGATATTTCAAAACTATTTTTAATTCCATTAGAGTTCAATATTAATCATTTCAAATTTTAAAACAAAAATTCTTGGTTGGATCTTGTTTAAAAATTTCTCACAGAATCGTTTATAATGAAAATGTTACAAAATGTACTTTGCATGTTTTCAAGCAATAATTAAGTTTTTTACATGTGCTCATTCAGTTGAATGATCAAAAATATCCATCAAGCTTTTAAACAAGAAAAGAACAAACTAGAGGTGTTGATGTAAGAGGAGAAATGATGATGTTCCATTGTCGGCTGGCTCGACTCGATGTTTCTTCTTCCTTGGTTCAACTTCTTGTTAGATGATTTGTAGATTATAGAGACAATGATGATGTAGCAAATGGCAATGATGATGGCAGGAATGATGAAGACGATGCTTGCTGACACTGTCACATAAACCTGAAACGTGTGTTATTTCTTAGTTAAGGGTAGAGTTGCTTTCTACACAATTTCATGTCGTTCGATTGTATGCGAATGCCCAACTCGATGGAGGACTCGGGCCCATCAGGAACATATGAAAAACACTTTTATTTCATCAAGAAACTAATTTGTTTGCAGGTTTTTATAAGTTGTTTCAGCTGTTTGATTATTTTGCAATGATTGATTAACACTATTATCATTATTTTTTTATACAAATGTTAACGGGAAAAACAATATTAAAATTTATATATGGTATTAGATTCATATTGTAATACATTTTATGGTACAGGCTGATAAAAATGAGGCAATATAATATAAAAATAATGCGATATTATACATAACTAATGTTTAGATGGATTGCCCGTCGTTATGTTAAATCAGACGTCCATTGTTATTGTTTAAACTTTTGATTCATTCTGGCACGCAAGCAGTCATAATTCTCATGGTCGGTGGGTTTGTTTGCGCGTTCAAACAATCGCAAGACACACGCAACGATGCCCACGTACGTTTTGATAGGTAAATAAAAGGTGGGACGCTTTTATTTGATTTTAGAAAAATTTTAAAGAAAAAATCAAAAAAATAATAGGCTAAATTATTCTATGGAACAGATGAAAATGATGAAAACAGATGAAAAGATGGAAACGATGAAATAATTTTTTTTTAAAATAGCGATTTGTTTCTCAGCAACAGCACATTACATGAAAACTACGTAAGTCAAACATCGTTCACCAGTGCTGGCTGGCAAATGCTGCCGAAGAAAGCTTTATTAATATGTTAAACTATATCGCCTATAAATTGTACAAAAATTTTGTTTATGAACTTAATAAACTTTGAAATTGTAAATTCATAGCTGAAAAATTTAAAAATCTCAGTTGTAATTTGCACCATGCGGAAAACGCCGTGATGTTTATTGCTTATACCAATATATACCAACCCACAGTCAAACGTTGTTTAGACAACTAACAGCATACATACATATTTAATGCACTTTTATTGGAGCGTTAAACACAACCATTACCACATTTCAAGGTGGTGCAGTTGCATGTGTCTTATGTAACGAATGCTCTGTTGTCAAGAATGCTAGGTTGGGTTAATGTTAGACTTTTGATTAATAGTGAAAACTTTGTGAGCTGATCACTTCCTTATAAGACATATGTTGCGCAATGTGGAAATATTTATATATTAAATATTAAAATACATTTATGAATAAAATTGAAATTTGTATAAAGTTTATTCAAAATATTTCAAATAAATTTTATTTATCTGCATAAGTTGTACTCGTTTTTCAACATATGTTTTTATAAAATACTTGCAATATTTTAAAATTGAAATTCAATTATATAGTATAATTACTCGCTTCAATTTTTTTTAACTTGCAATTTAAAGAGGGGCTAGATAAACGAATGAAAAAATGATGCTTATTATTTATATCGGGCGGGCTCCTGTCAGTTGTGATGCGGCAGATTAAATAAAAAACGAGGTGCTTAACTCCATGCCATCGTGAGGAAAACATAATTGGTGATGGATATTACACGGCACATTAATATGTAAATTAGTATATGCAATATATTTCGTATAAATCATGTCAACGCTTGTAAAGAGGGTTGTACATTCAACATTTTTATTTCCCTCATACAAGACTCACTGAATCATCATTTTGCCGCCCCTTAAATTTAGCCTTCACGTGGGGTGCATCATCTGGCCTCCGCTAGGAATGGCCCTGCATGTACATATTTTAGTTAAAGTTTTTCTGTGATCCTGAAATTAATTTGTAAGAAACGATTTGTGAAAGATAGCAAACCGTTGAACCTGCCAGTGAAATGAGTTCATGTCAACGTAGACGCACTGCTCCGCTAGGATCGGTCCATCCCATTTAACAGTAGAGAGAGTGAAGATTGGCAGGGAGAGGAGGAAGGCTGACAACCAGGAAGATAGGATCAACCAAAACTTTGCGGTATCTAGTGTCAGTTGCAGTTATGATCGTAATTTTGTTACTGCCCTAGTCAACATTATCATCGTCATCATCATAATTGTCATCATTATCTTCATTCAGCTGTTGTTTCTATTTTTGCGCACTACAGATAGGCCATTAAACGTGCGACCCAGGTCAAAGATCACAACATTGAGTGCTGCTGCTACGTGATGTTTATAACGTATTTCCGTGCATGAAGTAATACACTTTCTTCCAGTAACAACTCCTCTCAGAGAACAGTGGAAGACATGCACGGGCTGGTCCCGCCCAGAAGTTATCAAGTACTGTTCGGTTGGGCTGTCCCGGGTTCATTTAATTGCGTTCGGTCAGCGCACACGTTCCTTTTTTTATTTTTTGAGGATTGGCATTAAGGATGCTGAGCAATGAAATTAAGACTCTCGCGGTGCAATTGCATTAAAATATTTATACCGCGGTTGTTTTAGTAGTTAAGTTACGTTTTAGTCTTGAAATGCCTCTAAAAATGAGAAATTTTATATTGAACACTAAAGGGCATCTCTTATCAGGACTGAATACTGGTCAATTTATTAAAAAATATTTCAAAAGCATTAAAAAATTGTTTACATAAATACAAAAACTTTTTCAAAAGGTTATTTAAAAAAAATCATTAACAAATTAAATTAAAAAACACATCACCAAAGTACTTGAAAACAAAACAATTAACTAATTGAAGAAAGCGCCGCAAATATCAAAAATAAAAACAACAAAATGAAAAACATTACTTCAGTCAGAAAACAACAACTTATAAATGTAAGGGCAGCATCAATTCTAAAGTCAGCAGCCCACTCAACAACCCCACAACAACAACAACAACAACAGCACAACAACAACAACAACACAACAGCACTCAGCCCTCAACAGTCCAGCAGTCAGTTACCTCCAGTTGACCAGCTGAGGGGCTTGGCGATGGCGTAGACACGATCGATGCTCATGGAGACGAGGATGAAGGTCGAAGCCAACGTCAAGGTCACCTGAATCGGTTCATCAAGTTTCAAAAGGGCTCCATAAATTTTTATTTTTCAAGTTCAAATGGTTGTAATCAGATGACAATTTATTTAGTTATTTTTTGTTGATATTAACCTAAAATACTTTCTAGATAATAATTACAAAATTATATTTATAAAAAACTAATAATTTTAAAATGAATTGAAATGATGAGAAGTTGATCGGCTCCGATGAAAACGGTTTTTAAAACTTTGCTAGCTAATTTTAGTTTTGTACGTGGCTAAGGTTGTTAGTAAGTCAGGTTTTTAATTCATATTATTAACTACAATCAGAGCATCTCACAAGTGGCAAGCAGCACTTCACTGAACAAATACAACAAGAGGTAAACGTGATTAAAATAAAAATTGAACTCAATGAGGAACTGGAAAAAATAATTTGAAAGTGTTTTAAAAATTTCTTCCTTCCAGCCAAACCTCAGCATTTCAAATGTGAATTTACATTATTAAGGCATTGTTGTAAAATAATTCAGTAACTGAAGCACATAAACATGCTATATGCACAAATTTATTAATGAACAAATTTCACCGAACGATTGAGTGGTACTTGTGTGTGTTTATTATGTATATTCTTTATTCAATGACATAGTTTATTAATAAGAATTAATTGAACAAAATAAACAAATTGTTTCATGAGAAAAGTAAATTAAAGTAGAAATAAACATTATTAAGTTATTTAATTATTTTGTTTAATTGATAAATGTTTAAGATCGTTGGAAAACATGAGTGAAAAATCTTAAAGCCCATATTTAAAATGCCAAAATCATCTTCATTTGGTGGAGTCGATATATTTCGACCCTTAACACTTAAATATTCAAAGATAGAAACACATTTAATATAATTACTGTTATATATATATATATATATATATATATATATTTTTACAATAAAAAAAAAATTGAAAAAACGAACTACAAACATATTAACGCCAAACATTCGGTAGAATTTATAGAATATTGTAAAAATTATGATCTATTACCATAATTTATATTATACAAATTTATATATATATATATATATAAATTTGTGCATATAGCATGTTTATGTGCTTCAGTTACTGAATTATTTTACAACAATGCTTTAATAATGTACATTCACATTTTAAATGCTGAGGTTTGGCTGGAAAAAAGAAACTTTTAAAACACTTTCAAATTATTTTTTCCAGTTATATATATACATTCATTTAATTGAAGTAGCACCTAGAGTAGTTTTTCCTTCGTGAAGAAGGTTAATTGATTTCGAACTTTTAGTAACTTCTCTGCAGAGCTCCAAATATAATCATCTAATCATACATCAACAATAAACACGCACCTCAAATGGTGCTCCACATTGCACTCAGCTCTATTTAACAAGTTTGTCATTATATCTGAAAAAATTCATCTGCCACTTGTCTAACAGTTGTGTATTTATAGCGGTGAACAATTTTTTTGTAACTGTGTGTCAATGAAAATGTTTAAATTAATTATTCTTTGACATCAAAAAAGTTATTTTAAATTTACCAGTGTTTTTTTTCGTTCTTTCCTTAACGATATTTGATTTGCATTACGAATGGAATAACTAATTTTTGGTAGTAAATTAGATTGAAAAAACTAACATGAGTCAATATACCCTTGCAAGAGATTTAAAACAAAATTTGTTATGTCGGGTTATAAAGACATGCTAGCTCCCATACATACATGAACTCTTTCAAAACAATCTCTAATGTTTCTGACGTTGTTTCAAATGCTCACAAAATAAAATCTTAGGTCTTTTAGAAAATATTTGATTTTTTTTTATGAAAGACATACATGATATTAACAACACCAGAAACATTAGAGTTTTTTTTGAAACATTTCTAAATTCAAAAACGCAGCTCATTTGTTCGTGCAAAAAAGCAACAGGAACAGCTTCCAAACGTGTCGATTACTTTAGAAACGCGCCCCATCCGCTAGAACATCGAAAACAACCAACCAGTAGTTAAAAAATAAAGATCAGCGATTTAACTGCAGACGCACCCGCGTGTTTTTAAACAGGTTTATTTTCAGTTAAAAAACAAAAAACGAAAAAAAGGTGGCTCAATAGCGAGCAATGCTGCATTCTTATTCTGGGTAACCTCAACAGTAGTTAAAAATATGTTGTAAAATGTTTCACCAACTGAAAATTTAATTATTTAAATGATAATCAGTGAAATAAGCCTAAACAACATTACATGATAAGCAAATTAAAACGAAATTGACCATTGTTATAATAAATCATAAGAAAGAACTAAAAAACCTTCAATTGTTTTTTAAACAAAGCGAGACAATGATTTTAAATAATTTGGAGGTCATTGAAAAAGTGTTGAAAACGCTATCACAAGATTTGAAGAAGCGTAAATTTTAATTAAACTTTTCAGTTTGTAGTTGAAAATTTTTAATTAAATTTTTTTAAACCAAACTCCATTTGGTGATCAGGGTTTTGTTTAAACCAAATATTATTAATAATTTAAATCCTAATATTTGGAACCGTCACATCCCTACCGGATATTAAATGTTGATACTAACTCAAACTATTAACATAGGTGTCGTCACAAAAATGTATATTATTCCACCACGAGACTGCATCGTATTTGTAAGATTGTTTCTTTTTAAATTAGACATCTTGTTAATGAGGCTCTAAAATATTCGGAGTTTGCTTAAAACAAAATTTTGTTTTTACGAAGCATTTTTTGTGGAACCTAGAAAACCGTCAGGAAACGTGGGAAAATGTTAAACCAGCGTGATGCCTAACAGGATGTAGCAAACTCGTTAGTTGATTAGATTTTTATAAAAAGTCTAGCAGCACACACCATCAATTTTTCGCCTCAGTGAGTCTGAGTTGGTCGACGGGCTGTCCGTGTGCCTGGAATTATTCGTCTCGTTGCACTGCAGAAAATTAAAATGGTGTTTGTTATAGGCTTTGAACAGTTGCAGTGCTTTAGAGAAATAATAACATGTCTTGTTATCACAAAATAATAGGTTTTAAAAAACTTTACTAATAATTTTATAACTGAGAATTTATAGCGTATTACTCTTATACTAATGAATGGTAGGTATAAATATGAACGGGTTGATCAATCTTTTAATTCAATATTATGCCAACATTTTATTAACTAGCAACATAAAAAATCACCAACAAATATCTACTATAAGTAATACTTATATGGTTTATTTAAGAACGTTTGATAAACTGCAACCACGTAAAGAAGCCATTACGTTTACTTCGAGATTCATAGGTCGTCATCACCAGGTCATAAAATGTTGTTCATAAGCTGGTTGGATTGATGCGGGTCTATGTTTAAAATACTGCATACAATATAGCGTAATGTAAGGAATATAATTATTTATTCTCATCTTGGTTTGCTTTCAAAGGTTAAATTGAGATAGACAAGTGTGAACGTTAAACATTTTTATTTGGAAAGCTAACTTGATAAATGAAAAAGAAAAAATTTATAAATTTGAAAAAAAAATTGCTAATAAACTGTTTGAATGCACTGAAATTGACACACTCTTAAATGTTCATCTTTAAACGTGTTGTACACCATTATAAATATCGTGTTACGACGAATTCAGTGTAATTTTTTTGCAAGAAATTTTTTCAGTCAAAAAAAATTTAATTAATTAGGCATTTTTGGCATTTTAAAAAACCAAACGTCTTTTAAACTAAAACCACCATTTTGTCACATCTGCTCTATAAAGTCACACTATGTATTTGTGAAAAAGGTCAGTTTCAGACAAATTGAACCAGATGCACAATTGCACTACTCAGACTAAGTCATGAGGTGGTTCGTTTAATCAGCCTGTACTGCATTTAGTCATTCATGTCTGTGTGTAAATGTATGTTTGTGTGTGTGTTCTTTATGTTTATTAAATTTGTGATTACTCAGAAAAGTGACAAAATGCAACAGTCCGAAAATTTTATTACATAGGCATAAATTGCCTGAATATGCATATATGACGACTGACGACGACAAGGAGGTGTTTCGCTGCGAAAACCACACACACAAATGCACACCACACACACGGACGCGCGCACATTTTTATATTGATACGAAATACTCTAAGTTAATATTGGAACTCATCGAGTCATAATTTGGTTGTTAATGTCAAGTAACGCGCACAGTACACTGAAGTATGTTTTTTTTATTCTGTGAATGTAATTTGTTTTCGGCATCAAATTTATTGATTCACTACCTTAGTACAGGCAGCAGTTAACAGCAATTGCTTGGTCATCATCGAAATTAACAATTGAAAACGCGAAGACTTTCAACAGATTCACTGCCAGAGCATGCTTTTGTTGCGCTGGATTAATCAATTTAGAAGCCTATAAACTGCACTGGATACGACATGTTGTACACTCAGAAAAGACGTGTCAAGCAAAATGCTTTCTGCCTGATGGATGTATTCACAAATAAAAAAAAACAACAACACTCAATAGCTCACAAATCTTTTACTTATTTTGACAGTATAATATTAAGTTTTTTTTTCAATTTGCTTGTTTAATAATTTCATAGTAATCAGTAATTTCATAGTAATCATATCAACATAGTAATGTTCATTATTATGCTGATAGCCAACCGATGAGTTTTCAAACAAGTTCCTATAAATATTCAATTAAAGTGCAACAACAATATTTAAAATATTCCCACTACTACTACAAGTAGTACTATTATTACTACTTCTACCCCTACTACTACTAATAATAATTATAATGATAATAAATAAATAAAATGATGACAACGACAAAGAACCAACCTGCAAGTACTTGATGACCTTACAGAGGAGGACTCCGGCATGCCAGACCAGGGTGACCTTCCAGATGAGATCCACCAAGACAACTATGAAACCCATGCAGAGATCTAACGTCGTTCACTCCACATTATATTTCGGTGGAGATAGATAAAATATTATTTTTGATGAATGAATAAAACTGATTATTTTTGGCTATAAGAGTTATTATTAAATAGAAAATATAGAAAAAACACAATTAATATAAGTGAAAATATATATATATATATATTTTACAATATTCTATAAATTCTACCGAATGTTTGGCGTTAATATGTTTGTAGTTCGTTTTTTCGATTTTTCTCACTAAAGTTTTTTGGTGAACGTTTAGTTTATTAAAATTCAAAATAAACTTATTTTTCGAATTCATGCTGCAAATAAGGCCATATTTTGATTCCGAATGAATCATCGTCAGTGCTCCTTGTTGTATATATAGGGAAATATTGACTTTGTCAAGATTAACTTTGACAACAACGAAAACAAAGAAGTAATAAAAACTAGCATCGTAAATAGTGACAAAGAAGAATATGATGCTATCGATGAAGAAAAGGAGACCAAAGAAGATGACCAGCCAATTAAGAAACCTGACACCTAATTCGCATCAAAGTTCAATTTTACAACACCAAAGTTAATTTTTACAACGTCAAAGTTCATCTTGACAAAGTCAATATTTCCCTATATATACAACAAGGAGCACTGACGATGATTCATTCGGAATCGAAATATGGTCTTATTTGCAGCATGAATTCGAAAAATAAGTTTATTTTGAATTTTAATAAACTAAACGTTCACCAAAAAACTTTAGTGAGAAAAATCGAAAAAACGAACTACAAACATATTAACGCCAAACATTCGGTAGAATTTATAGAATATTGTAAAAATTTCTATTACCAACATATATATATATATATATATATATATATATATATATGTATATATATATATATATATATATATATATATATATATATAAACAAACAATAAGCATAACTCGGAAAGTGTGCGTGTTAGTTAAGCGTTTGAGCGCGTGATTGGGATAGGGATCGAGCGTCTGATATATATGCTATGGGTAACTAAAATTGAAGTCTCGAAGGTTTTTTTTAGATATGATGATTTTTATTTAGAAACGTTTCATATCAGCGTTTCCAGTTTAAAATGAGGTGACTTATTATAAAATTGCATTTCCTGTGACCGTCTTTGATTTATTGAAATACATCTTATGTTATGTTATACCATGTCAATATTTTGATATTGTTTTCTCATTTCAAACAGCTAAATCACGTGTCATAAAACTATTATTACTCAGCACAGTCAACAATTTTGTTTCATTTCAGTGCATAAAGCCGAAAATTGTCATCATTATTTTATAGTTTTCGAACTTGCTCCCAAAGTAATTTTTATACTGGCTAATACAAAATAATCTCTGACGTTCATACCGACCGGAGCTAAGAGGATGTTTTTGGCGCATAACAAAATTAAAATACTAAAATATAAGCTTAAACTTTGTTCAGCATATAATACCTTACACATTTATTTTTATTTAGCTTCAACTCGCAAACATATCGTGAATGTGCGTGCATGAGAAGCTATCACAAAATCACTTGATTGCGAGAAGAGCGAACGCGATGGCTCAATGTTGCAAGTCTTATATTCATCTAATAATACTTTTGTCAAGTTGTTCAACGTTTTTTTAAGAAAAAAAAGTATTTAAAAATTGTAATACAGATTGATGAGAGGATGTTGAAGCAGTGCTGCTTGCACGAACTTTTCGTTCATCATGCGTTCTTCACTCATTCAACGAAGGCCTACTTACACCTATATACCATATATGATCTGCTCTCTTATCATTATTTTTTAATAAATGTATTCACATTAATGTATCTAATGCACTTGTTAATCATAATGCTGTAATTATAATTAAAATTATCACCAAATAATTAGCAAATGTCAAAAATATAAAAATTGAAATGAACAAAACTATTTGTGGAGCACCACTACTACCTCGCGCGTTGTTCTATAAATAAAATAAGACGTTCAAAGTTTAAAGCAGATGAGGAAACATTTAATTAATTATATTAAAGCAATTTCTGCTTCAGTTTTTTAATTTTTTTAAAAATGTTAAATGTGAATATAATATGTGAAATGCGTATATAATTTGTATATAGTTGTTACTCAATGGACTGCTTATTGTTCTTTTTACCCTTTTATACTAAACATATCCATTACATAATTCAAAATTTAATTTCTTTCAAATTGACCGAAAACTTTTAATTTTGCGAGAAACTCACAAAAATGCTAAAGTTTTAATTTTAAAAAAACATCAGTAACTTTTTTGTAGAAAATGTCCGGTTGAAGAGTTTACACTGAAAGAATGGTAGAAAATTAAAGAGGTATACACGTAAGACCATCTAAGTTTATCTTGAAATGCATTTTGTTTGGAATGTGCAGACGTTTTTGTTAACCGTAAAATTGTACACAATTTTGCAATTTTAAAAATTTTAAATGGAATTTGATGTTTATGTATTTTTAAAATTCTTTAAACTTTAAAGTGATGTTTTTAAACACAAAAGTACAGAGTTTAAAATAACATAACATTGGGAAAAAATTTAAAATGATGTTTGTAAACAGGGAAGTACAGAGTTTAAAATAACATAACATTTGAAACAGAAATTGAATGACATCAAAATAAGCAGGCCGTTACATTGTAGTCCTAATATCACATGTATGTCTGAAAACATTTAAAATTTACAAACTGTTTATATCCAAAAATTGACTTTTAGTTTTTAAAACTTGTTAAAAAAACCATTCAGTGTAATTGGAAAAAATGGCTGAAAAGGCATCGAGTTATCTGATTTGATCACTTGACCATTAGAATGTTCATCTTTATGAATGCCACATTAACAAACTTAAATCTTCAAATCGTATATTACACTTATAAATAAATCCAACTGAAAATGTTTAACCCGTACTCGGTCAAACAATTTTTAATACGTAACAAACAACTTTCAAAAAACTTTCTCGCCGAACGCTAGATCGATCGCACACACACAAGCCAGATGAAATTTTTGAAAAGTCTTGAACAGAAAATATTTTTTGACATCATTAAAATATTTTCTTCTCATCACAAATTTTTAATATAATTTTTAATATAAATTTTGAAAAGTTCGTGTCCAGACTGTTCAAATATCCAACTTTTGCAATTTTGTATGTGGGTGGATTGTGGGATCAGGATAGGTGATTTTGATGACCAACAAGCATCTCAATTTAACGTGAACAATCTTTTAAAATTCTGAATGATGTAAAAAAAAAATGAACATTTGTTTCCAATAATTTGAAAACAAAATTTCAACTTAAAACAAAAAGTTTTTATTCAACCTTCAAACCCCCATATCAACTTAAGAAAAAAAAACTTTACAGAAACAACTGGCCATAGAGCCAATAGAATTTCATTAAATTTTCATTATTTAATTAATAATCATTAATATCTTTTCAACGTTTTAAAAACCACAAAACCACCATCGTAAACAAACTGATGACAACTGCTCTTTTATTATTCAAAATTTGTTTTAATCTCAAAAATGAGCTACACTGGATTTTGTCCTGCCACGATTCAAATATTCTCGTTTTAGAAAAGAAATCATTCTCTTTAATCTGCTCAAATTAAAAATGCATTATATGTGGATTTAAAAATTTCTGTCTCACAAGTAGACAAACACATTTTCAAGTGACGTCTAAAGAATCATCTACTGGGCAACCCGTTGATACGGCTGCGTAACGTACGCTTCTGAACTCTACTTACGAGAGGTTCTTTTAACTCAAGGTATAAATCAATCAGCCAAGTAACTTTAAAATTGTAAAATAAGAACAAGCATCACAACAGCAAACCACTGACAACAATGAACCTTCAACAAAATCAACAACAAACAAACAGCATTGAAAACATTTGACCGACCGGCAAAGGCGAGGTTGCAAATGAAGAAGTTCATCCTGGATATCTTCTTCTCCCTGGAAAACATGACGATGTTCAAGAGGACTGATGAGTTGAGAAGAAGGATGAAGACGAAGAGAAAACTTAAAAATATCACGTGACCTGTTTGCTGATGATGTTTATAAGGTTGATAATGATGATGATGGTGATAAGGAGGGGGGTGGGAAGATAAATAGTGTGAAATTTGATTAAGATGAAAAAAGATCATGTCAATAAAAAAAATGTTGATGATGATGTTGGTGATGATGTTGATGGTGATTGTTGATGATGATGTTTTTGATGATGATGGTGTTGATTATGATGTTGATGATAATGTTGATGATGCTGATGCAGACATTGACGAGCGAGATGATGACCATGAGTATTATCATGAAATATTAACAAAATGATATAGTTGGTGGTGACACTGACAATGTTGAGGTCTATGGCGAGATAGGATGGTGATGTTGGAGTAAAATTTTTTCAATTCATCAAAAAAGTACTCCAACAAACATCATTTTAAATTTTAAAGAATTTTAAAAGTGCATAGACATCAAATTCCATTTTTCCTAATTTCCACAACCTTAATTGACTTGAATAAAGAGACGCATCATTGGTGGTTCCCTAGGCATGTTGCTATCAAATATCATGCCCATGTTACTGACACTCATACAATAATCAATACGTATCCCTTCGGAGAATGAAGACTTTATATAAACTTTAGACAACTGATGATGATGATGGCAATGCTGATGGCGATGGTGATGATGATGATGGCGATGATGCTGATGGAGTTCGTGATGATAACGATGATAATATTGCAGACGCAGCACGGTTCGGTCACAAATTAAATGAAGTGGATTTCGAAGAGCCAGCCTTCCAGATGTAGCGATCATCATCATCACCTTACTTCCACCTTCTACGTCATCCAACCTTATCACATTAACTTCCGTATTTTTTTTCGTTAACTTAATGTTTGAAACATTTTAAAATAAAAAAATGAAATTTAAGAAAGTGAAATTTTTTGAAATTTACACTCCGGTAAAATAAATTTGATATGTTGTTAAATTTTTTACTGCTAGACAATTTTTTTCTATCTGAAACAGTTTGAATAAGTTAATAAATACACGTACAGAAAAAAAGAGCAACAAAAACTTATTTGAAAATAAAGTAAAAAAAACTGTATAGAGCAAGAAAATGAAATATAAAATGAAGGACGAGAGATAGCTTCAGTGGGACAGATGGAGATCATCTGTATGCGAACGTAGCTACATAAGGACTGTTGCTCTCGTGCTAAGGCTAACCCACACAAACAACGCCACACAATCAACACCGGACAAACAACACGACACACAAACAACATGACACACAAGCAACATGACACACAAACAACATGACACACAAACAACATGACACACAAACAACACGACACACAAACAACACGACACACAAACAACATGATGCTGAGAACACGACATCTAAAAAAAGTTTTTAACCCTATGCGTCACGAATAAGTCGTATTTTAAAATTTATTTAACCACGTAAAAAAGATGCCTTCAAAAGTATTACGTCCAATGTTAAATGTATTATTTCGATGGCATTTTTAAATTCTTATAAAAAATGTTGCTTTTGCTCAGTATGATGAATAAAAATGCTTCGAGTCTTTAACATTTGATTTGATGTTTGGAGGCTGTTGATCGTGGAAATAATTCGTTTGCGACAACAACACAATTTTATTTCGTGTTGATTTCATTTGAAAACTTTAAAAAATCATTCAAAAAGCTGGTTAATGGTTAAAGCCCATGTTTGAATTTTTGTTATTCAAATTCACTTTTTGCAGATTAAAGTGTTTATCATGCTGCTTCAAAAAAATTTCAGTTGAAAACGAAATAAATTTGAACATTTTCTGCGCTGCTTGGCTGACTAATTCGAAAGTCATTATGAATTTTAAAAACTTATTTGAGGCGATTGTACTTTTTCGTTACTTTGCATTAATTAACTAATTATAATTATTTAATTATAATATTATAATTATTTTTATATTATTACTAGCTGTCCACTGCTTATTTTAGATAAATTCAAACGTTTCAAATAAAATAAAATTTTCAATTTGCCGTTAAACTTTTGATCTCGATTAAGGAATGCAAACGAAGAGTTGTTAAACTGAATTGAAAACAAAAATGAAAAACAGAGCTCCGAGAAATTATTTCAGTTATTTACGATATGTTCAAAATTATGTGTTCCAATTAGCCTGGCAGATGCTTATGAAGACCTGAGTCATTCATTAATCTATCTACTAGGAACAGGATAGAAATGAAATGTTCACTCTTTGCTTCCATCGATAACGAGTTAGTAAATGGAAATGAATTTTCAGTGCAGTAGTGTCCAGGCATAAATAATGTGGCTCGCATATGACAGGACATAAATTACACACGAGCAAACCATCTGCAAACATCAATTTCCACATTAACCTTCTTGGAAAATCTTTGCATGATTTATTTAACAACAAACAAATAATCAGCTGCCAAAATAATGAATTGGTGCCAATAACTAATTATATATTTTTCATCATTCGTTGAAAATACATACACATGTGCACATTTGAAAATTAGATGAGAAATCGTTACCTCAAAAATTTCCTCGCTGAATGTTGTTTCGTTCAAAAGAAATGTTGAACTATTGTAGTGTGAGGAGTGCTTTAGAAGAGATGTTGTATCATTGGAGTTTGATTGTATCTGGAGAGGTATTATATCATCAGGGTGATACAGTTTGCTGCTGTTTAAATCCATCTTCGCTATTCTGTTTCATTTTAACATTAATACATTTTTATTAGACATAATTTATTCAAATAAAAAATGAGCAATAATGAATATTTAAACAAAAAATGGTAACTTTATATAATTGTGATAATAAAAAATCTAATTATAACTTAACCAACATAATCGAATGCATTGAACATGTATGGTTGCAGACAATATTTATTAGTTCATTCGTTCGTTCGTTCGCTCATTCATTCATTCATTCGTTTATTTATTCATGCAAAATAGCATAGACTGAGCATTTATAAACAAACTTGTGTACAATGAAAAATGTTTTGATGGGTTTCAAATAAATTTGTCTAAAATTAATTGTAAGATTTCAAATGGTAGCTTGGTAACTTTTGTCTGGCCAATCTCTTGGTCATTGCATGATGCTTTCTATAAAAATTTTCAAGTTCTTCAATTCAATTTTGACGAGTAAATGTTGCTAAATATAAAAATAATACATTTCGAATTTTTTAAATTATCAAAAATATTCTAAAGAGATGGAGTTTTAGCGTGGACAGCCGTGGAAAAATTTCGTACGTCTGATTGCTTCAGAAAATGTTATTGTAGCAGAAGAAATGTAAATTGCTAATGTAGTTATTAAAATACCTGATAAAATATGAAAATAAGATTATGTTACATTGATTGTTCAGTGGTTTAAAAAATTTCCTTCAATACTCACGCACTGACCGACCGTCATTTTCTATGCAAATTTTGCTCGCCGATCCTGAACGCAATTGCGAAAAGATATATCAACACTGATAAATTGACCGATGTAGAAATGTTGAGTGTAAAAAATATTTCACGTCTGCATTGTCATTAATTATTATTTGGTTTTATTATGCATCCTGGCATACACAAAACTGCTTCAATATCATTGCTTTGTATAAACATTCGGGCCATAAAGACTGCAGTATCCAAACCACACGACGTGCATACACCACACATCACGTATGCACGCGCTAGCACGGCATCAAACGCGCATGGCTTCAAATTTTGAATAGACGACATTCGATCCAGGCTATCGAGTAACTGCACGAGACATGGCCATTCTACCAACTGAGCTAACTCGCCGGTCACGTAAATGACTTGCAAACCACGAAAGGAAAGAATTAATTAACTTTCCGAAGTGAGATTTAAGAGTAGAAGCGGCGTCTGAAGATCTGCTTGCTCATTGTCTTATCTAACCGGCAGATGAATACGTACTTTCTCATAATTTATCGTTCATGCACTCATGTAGAGTTCTGATTTATTAAGGGAAATATCAAGAATAAATTGAATGTAATCTACTCCATCCATATTCATTAACGGTTTTTTATTATTGCAAAATAAATTCTCAAATAATAATGGTTCTCAGTGTGTATTTGTTAAAGAATATTTATAAAGGTAGTAATTTTTCATAATAAAATCAATGTCGTGGAGAATTTTTTTATAAAGGTTAGGCAGGGGTTACCAAATTTTTGTAAAACAATTTCAAACTTTAAAAATAAACTTTTGAGTTGAATATTTTTGTCGTTTCGATTTCATGAAGAACTCATTCATCGTCTAAATTGAGCTACAGACACGTTCTTCCTCATTGCTACAAACTTGAGGCCCACAGATGAGTCGTTTGCAGATAGAAACGCAGGCACGCCTTTTTATTAGAACAAAAAACTCTTAACCATACATTGCGGACATTGTTCAGGGGAACAAAATATTATTCAGTGAAGTTTTCAAATAAGAAACATTTTATTTAAAACAATATTTTGCTTTAATGATTCATTTGTTCATTTTTGAGTGTTCAGCTTAGACAGTAACTGATTCAAAAATCAACAATTACTCGCATAAACTCTTTATCTCGAAAAAATATCTAATTTTAATTTATTTAAAAATGATTTTGCTTATAAACAATTAACCAACAATTTTCTATCGGCATCTAACAATTACTACTTATTCATGTTTAGTAATCGTTTAACTTTTTTTTTTTTAAAAGTAAAATCTCGTCGGTCTGGAAAATTAATATCCTTTAGTTTTGATGAAATGTTGCTACAAATGTGTTTACATGCGTTACTGTTTAACAAAAATGGATTGCCTCACTGCAGTATTAAATGGGTTTTGTTTTGGCAATAAATTTTATAACTGGTTGTGGTAATACAATAGTTATTCTCACTTTTTATTCTTGTTACAAATAATTGTTGTCTACGTGTAAATATTTTTAAAAATGCATTTGATCGAATAATTTTAAAAAATTCATCAATTATAGAAAACAAATTTTAAACAAAACAGCACTTGAAATTGGAATACAAATTGGAAGAGATTATCTAAAAGCTGGAGGAATAACGAAAATGAAAACAAGGATGACGGTGATCTGGTAAGTTAATTTACGTTATAGTCACAAATTTTCTTATTTGTGAAGCAGTTTTATGAAATTATTCAACACACATTCCAAACTATATTTTAATGTTCATTAAGTATAAAGTTATGTTCAAAGTTTTTTATATTAATAGAACTGCTTATACTACATAAGACGTTACAATAGCATGTATGCATGCTCAAAGCGTTGCCATGGTGAACCTTGAAATTGGAAATAAGAGCAGCTTGGGGTTCATGCCACTATTAAATTAAATTTTACTTCACTGATTCAACTCCTTTTTAAACAAATTATTAGTTTGTTTTTAAAGAAAATTCACTGCAATAAGTATAAGATTTATTTAATTTTCATTTGACAAAGTTTTACAAAAAAATAATTAATTGAAAAAATAGAAATAATCAAATTGAAATGGTGAAGACGCTATGAAAATCAACAAAGGAAAAATAAAATAACAAAAACAAACACTCTTATTGCAATCCTTTCGATCAATGATTATTTTTCCAATTTTTGAATGAAGTCTCAAAATAACAAAAAGCAGTTTTTCTAAGAAATGTTTTAAAATCTTAAGAGGAGTAAGAAATAAATTAATAAAAGACGGATGGATGCACGCATACGATATTAAATTTTTTTTTAATTTTTTCGTCATTGATCAAAGAAAAATCTGCAAAATATTTTTCTGTTTATTGTTTGATAATAATAATAATTTTTATGCAACCATATTTATGCGTCTTACATGTGAGTTTATAAAAAATTCATTTACTTCTTTGAATAAACTTTTAAAATTTTTGTTTAACTGTACTTAGCGAATGTTTTTATATATATTTTTTCCAAAGTTTTCATCTGTCCTAATTCTATTATATTATTCGGAAAATAATTTCGCTTTCTCCCGACACACTTAAGTCGCATTGCCATTATATATTTTGACAGCTGACATAGCGAGGCTTGTGTGTGAATAAGTTCAATTGATTTTACGCAGTAGTTTTTAGTCGGTGCCCTTTGAAATATGGAGAGCAATAAGCAGCATTTTTACCATATTTTACTTTAATTTTTCATATAGAATAGGTAAAAAAGCTGTTCAAGCCAGAAAGAAATTAACCGATGTGTACGGAGAAGATGTGTTGACAACGAGCCAGTGCCAGAACTGGTTTGCAAAATTTCGATCCGGCAATTTTGATGTCGAAAATGCACCACGTTCTGGAAGGCCAGTTGAAGCTGATAAAGATGCGATAAAGGCATTTGTTGATGCAAACCGGCAAAAAACAACGCGTGAGATCGATGAGAGGTTAAATTTATCAAATTCAACTGTTTATGACCACCTGAAAGGCCTGGGTTCAACCTCAAAGTTCGACATATGGGTTCCCGATGTCTTCACGGAAAAAAATTTGTGTCGATCAGAATGGCCAATATATAATTTAATTAAATATTTATTCATTATACGAAGATCGTCTTTCATCTTTACCACAAAAAAAACAACGAAATTACTTTTCAAAAATCAAGTCAGTTTTTAAAGAGTTTCAATAATAATGGTTAATTTATAAATTGATTAAATATATTGAAGATTTTTTTTAAATTTTCAGAGAATGTGATAAATTAAATTACATTTTAAATTATATTAAAATGTTTTCAAGTGAATTTAAACTCTAAACCTTTTAAATACTTTTTAACTAAGTACTTTTTGCGCAAAATGCGTAAAATTATTATTTATTAGAAATATAAACCAACATCACGCTGATGTGTATAAACAAAAAAAAAAAAAACAAAAAAAAAACACTAACCTTGAAGATGAATTAACAAACGTTCTTTATATTGAAACACCCACCATAAAAAAATAATTTGTTGAAATATGTTGAAGAAATAAATCAAAGACGACCATTTTATAAGGCCCACTGCTGAGAAAGATGTGACAGCAGGCACAATGTGGATGTCATGTCGTGACGCATGTCAAACACATACAACTTACATCAATTGGTTTAGGTGAATATCTTACATGCAAGTCTTTTGCGTTATACTTCGCACACATTCTACGCAAACGCATTCATATGTATATCATCTTAAATATTGTAAATATATTTTTTCATTCAACTTCATTTCACTTATTTAAAGTTACAATTCATATTAATATATTTATACACTGTAATTTGTCCATTTCAGCGGTTAATTTTAAAGCTTTTGCAGCACCAAAATGCGTTTTGTACATTTCATTTTTGAAAGTTGTGTCAAATTTAACGTGCTTCTTCCTCTTTTATGTGATGTGATAGGCTCAGCTCCAATCAACATCTACATCATTCCAGGCTGCTTGCTTGCGATGACATTCAGAAGGAAATGACATGTTCTCTTTTCAGAATTAATTCAGCAGTTCACCCACGTCACTTACAGATAATATATATATAAATATATATATATATATATATATATATATATATACGTATCTATATAACATCTTCTTTGATTCGACAAAACAAAATATTTAGCAAATGAAAATAGATATACTGCTACCCAAAGCATTACATTGTAAGTAACTTTTTCAGATTTTAACTAGAAACTCAGGAAGTTTGAAAACTGAAAATGCTTTCAATATATATATTTTCAATATATATTAGTGTGATAAAAAATTATACATAATACAAATCCTAAC